GGTCGCCCGGGACCGCGCTCCGCTCCGGGAAGGGAAACTTGTGGCCGAAGCGGGCTGCCGAGGGGTTGGGAAGCTGCCTGGGGCGCTTCCAGTAGCTCTTTCCCACGCCGTGTTCGATCGGCGCCTTCCCGGTTTTGGTTACTTGCCGATAAGCCCGTTTCTTGAAGGAGTGTGTGCGAGGGGGGAGCGGAGGGTGGCATAGTCCTCAGGATTTATTTGGATTTCTTTGTGGGTTTAATTGCAATGCTGCGCCCTGGGGGCTCATGTAGGAGGGAGCCAAGTTAATAGTAGTGGAGCCAGGTAGATAAAAGATAGCAGCTTGTGGATGAAGTTTGGTGGCTCCACGGTTCCAAGAAACGCTTCCAAGCTGAAAAAATGGAAGCGCCGCTTGCTGAGCTGGGCGACGTGAAGTATTGTCCGCTAAAGCGATTGCGAGGTGGTTACACCCTGCAGGCCAAGCCGGTGAAACTGAGATAAAATGAAAATGCGATGGAGAGTTTCATGCAACTCTTAAGCACAAAAGGAAAACTGCTGATTTCTAACTGTCGTAAATCTGAGGAGGATTCAAGCTTCCCTCTGATGTGGTTTGGATTTAAAAAAAAAAAAGTTGCTGCGTCTGCTTATTACAAGCCTGACTTCCGTGGCTGCAATTGCAGTACAAAGATATTCCTTTCAGGTGTGGGGAACTGCTGTGCCGATCAGCTTGCAAAGTAAAAGCCAGGAGTCCTTGAAACCTGAGCGTAAATAAAAGCTGTTGAATCACTCCTTACCATCCTCTTGGCATTTATATCATTAATTTAACTTGTGCAGGGTAGTGCGACACACAGAAGCTGAGTGTCCGTGTTTGGAGTAACCTGTGCTGAGGCGTGGGCTCGTCGCGAGGAGCGGCATGCTCACAGCTAAGCAGTCCAAGAGACAGATTTTATTGTACCTTGATTTCCACAGCACCATGGTCCTACCCAGTGAAGACCCGTGCCTAGCCCCGTTTCTTGAATATTTGCTGCATAGCTTCATGCCATCGCTGCTGCCAAAAGGGGTCCATTGCTTCTGCTAATCCCCACCTTAGTTTTTCATACAAAGTAAACACAAGTTAAGCAATGTGGAATGGGTGTAGGTTTGCATGTCACTGACTCAGAGATTCCTGAATATAGTGACTGATGCCGCCTCCTCGCTGTGAGCTGTGGATACCCCAGCGTCAAACCTGCTACGCCTACTCCAGGTGATGCAACCCTGAAGTAGGAAGAAGTTCCATTACATGTGGTGCAGATTGCTTGTTTTATTTCCCATGACTGAGAGGACGCAAGTGTCTCCAGGACAGGCTGAATGTCAAAAAGTGGCCAAAGCGTAGTTGGGGCCAGCTGCTTCCGACAGCCTGGGAAGGCGTGTTTCCTGATCCCTCCTTCCAGGAAATGGAGCTGGCAGAGCACAGGTCTTACTGGTGACAGGCTCTTAGCAGGCAAGTCCTGTTTATCTAGCAAAGAAAACACAACTACAAGCACTTCATTTTACTTTAATTAAATGCATTCAGGTTAGCGATGCTTAGTAATCTAGGATCAAAGACCTTGTGATCTTTAATCCAGTTTCTCACTGAGTTTACCTAGTGTCTTGTTTAATATAAAACTCTCATCGTTTCAAGTCTCTGAACTACTCTATCGCTGCTCCGCAAAGCTGTCTGAATCCAAACTCTCATGTTGCATTGGCCTTAATTCTTGCTGTTCATTCGCCGAATGTAGGGTCACCCAGGGGGTTATGCAGAAATAATAATAATTTGCTGGCATCTCTGCTGTCCTTGGGACTCCAGCAGCTCCTCCTTTGTGCTTGGGCCCCTCACAGGCAGGGAAGTGTTAAACTGTTGGTAGGACCACACTAACTGCAGTGCAGGGTGATTAATATTTTGAAAGGTGAAGAAAATGTCCTTTTTGTAAAGAATCCCTTGTAGCGGGAGAAGTCTGGGATAAGGGAGAGGAAGTCGTGACTGACCGTCAGGACAGTGATAGCATGATGGATACTCCTGGGTGTATCCCAGTGTAACTTGTGGTCTAGTGGGTGGGAGAAAGAAAGGAAAAGCTTACATGCTTGCTGGACTCAGTGGTATATTTCAAGGTTGTGTGGAATTCATCTGCCTCCAAACCCATAACTTCATCAGAGGCTGTGGCAGTTCACACCCAGCCCCTGGCGTGGTCAGGTTCTTCATTCCAGGTGTTCATGCAAGTGTTTTTCTTCTGTGGGAATACACAGACAAGCATTTGCCCTCCTCTTTTTTCACTAAATTCCGTGTAAAGCTCTGATTCCTTGGGAGCTTCTTGCCTGATCTCTGCCCGTCCAAGGAGGGCAGAGACTTCGTGACAACCACAGCTACATGCCATGGCAGTCCACGATGGGCTGGGGAGCCCAGCCGTCCGGTCGGGCAGTGTACAGAGGGCACAGGCTGTGCCTCAGGCCAGCAAGGGGACACGCGGGAGGGAGCAGAGACACTGGCTGGGCCATGGCAGCGGCTGGTTGCTTGCACAGTCTCAGTCAGGGACTCTGGGGCACAGCCAGCTCCTCGGGCGGACAGTCCTGCTTCGGCGAGCGCTGCCCTCGGGTTTTGGAGGCTTCGAAAGACAGCCCAGCCCCTTTGCCTGTGTGCGGAGCTTACACAACCTTCAACTTTCTGCTCCTTGGCTTTTAATTGCTGTACGATACTTGACAGAAACTGTTTCTGTGTTTCAAGCTTTAGTGTGGGGTCAGGTTTGAGGACTGCTTCCAAACTTTTTTTTGGGGGGGGGAAGGTATTTACTTCTTGGTGTTTGTGTTGTGGGGCAGAGGGGGAGGTTGTTTGCTTCTTCCATCTCACTGAAACCACTATCGAAATCTGTTAGGTGGGAACACTCCTGCAGAGTTTTCTCTCTGATCACAGCCATTTTGCTCACTTTCTCCCTCCTTCCTCAAACCCTCGTATTTTCTTTAATGTTGGTCTCCTTGGCTACAAATTATTTGTGTATCTCCTTCCAGCCAAGGTGGGGTTTACGTGCTTCAGTGCTTCTGCTTGTTAATTCATGCTATTAATCAGACACAAAGAACGTAATTAAACTAGTTTTATGAGCTTTATTCACTGTCAGAATAAACTGGCCTAAAAGGTGTGGTTCAAGGTAAAAGCACAGGGCTGGGAACTAGGAGTACCAGATGGCTTCTCCTGCTTGTAACACCGGGGCTCTGTGACTGCTTTCTGCCGTAGCGTCTCCATTCACAGTAGTGTTCTGTGGGAAGACATTCAGAGCATTTCTCCATAAGGCAGGCTGAAGTGTGAAAGTGTTGTGGCAAGCATGATTTGCCCCCCCAGTGCCAATTGCACCAGGGGTCAGAAACAGATTGTTCCAGCAGCACGCAGAAGGATGCTGCGGGCGCTGGTGGTGTCCATCCACAGCAGGGAGAGCAGCTGCGGCACCTTCCTCCTGCTGCCCTCAGCCACTGGCAGCAAAACGTGGAGGGGAAAAACCTCCTTGGGAAGCCTCTGCATGTGCCGTTTCCATCGCTGTGTCCGAGCGGGGCAGCGAGGTGTTCCCCTCCACTCGCCCTGGTCTTGCTCAGCACAAGCCAGCGGGCAGCCAGGGGTCAGGGACACCTTCGCTGTCCCTCTCTGCTGCATAAGTGACGGGGACCTGTGGTCGTGATGGGGCTGAGTGAAGAACCTGTATTCAACTCTGAGCTTTGATGTAACCGCTCTGCCCGCAGAGTGGTCAGCAGGCGAGGAAGGGCAGGAGCTCTCCCCCTCCAGTTGGTCAGACTCTGCTGCTGCCTCCTCCCTCGATTCCAGCTGCTGACGGATCGGCCGAGATCAGATCCTGCCCGTGCTTACGAGCTGGTTTGTGTCACCTCTGCGGGCACCTGCTCTGGACCCACCTCCTGCTCTCCTGGGGGTCACAGCCTCGTGGCACTGTAAAGAGACGATCCAGCTGCTCCTGAAGCATTTTCCTTCCCTAAAAGTAATCTGGGTGGGGAGTGAATTGAGTGCTTGTGCTAACGTTTGACCCTCCTGAGGTAAATTTAAGTTAGCTACTATTAGAAATAAGCCTCTCAGAATAGACTTTGACATCTGTGCTCATTAAACTCCAGCATCTGGAGCTCTGGGAAGGCTCTCTGTGCCTTGCAGGTGCATGCTGGGGTTGCCAGTGCCCGCCCAGGGGTCCCGCTCACCTGGGACCTCTCTCCCCCTATCTTCAACTCAGCTCCAAAACACCCAGCTACTCATCAGAATCTGATGGATTTTTCCCATTCCTGGGAGCTGGTAGAGCAAATTCTTCACAGCGCTTTTTAAAATCAGGTGGTGTCCAGTGTTGTTGTTGTTTCCTGTTGCCTCAAATGCAGTGCTGCTGCTAACAGTCTTCTCTTCCTCTCAGGTGATGTGATTGAAGTGTATTATGGTGACAATCGCTTCGGGACAATGACCGACTCTGGCACAGCAACGCTTAAACCTCGTCCGAGAGTCCGGCCGCTGCTGACTTTCTTACCCCTTGTGAGTATCTGGCTCGCCGCTGGGGTTCATTACAGCAGTGCATGTAACTGGTACCCAGAACCAGCTGGGCTGGCTGCTGCTCTCATCCTCTACCTGAGGGAAGAAAATAAATGAAAAGCAAAACCACTCTATAATAATGCTGGATACGAGGGATTAGGAGGTGATCTGAGTTCAAGGCTTGTGTTGGACATAGGCAAGATACTCAGGCGAGAGATGTAAGCATCATCAGACTTGCATTTTCAATTTAAAAAAAAATTGCTGAGCATGTAGATGATAGATCTGGCTTGCACTGCGTTTTATCTAACCGCTACTGGCGGTTATCTCTTTCTGGATCAGGCATGTTGCTGGAGAGAGCAATAGCAAAACTGTGCCCTGTTTACAGGAGGGGAACGAGGAGGCGATGCAGAGGCTGTCTCTCCAGGCTCTGTATGAGGGAAATGGTTCCCTGCAGAGCTATCACTGCTCCAGCAGCAGCTGGATGCAGGGACTGAAGCAGCAAGTGCCAAAGCAGCTGGACCCAGAGGTGGCTTTGGCCCAGCTGGGACTCCAGAAGCCACACATACTCATTGCTGGCTTTGATGCTCTGCTGCCGTGTGTGCCAAGCAAGCTTTCCTCCCCCATGTAGCACACCTTTTCAAAGGTCTTATCCCCTAGAGTACAGTGAAGTGCATGATTGCTCAGAGATGTTTTGGAGATGGTAATAGCTAAACCTGAAGTGATACATGCAGTGAAGACAGTAAAACCCTTAAAAGCCTTTGGTCTTGACAAGGAAATCCCCTCTGAGAGCAAGCGATGTTTTTCCTTGTACATCCTCGTCCTTCAGAGCAGCCATCACCTACAGCAGAAAATGGGCTGGTCTGCTGTCACCTGGGTGCAATTAGGAGTTAATGGGGTTGTGCATGTGTCATCTGGAGGACAACTGGGGAGGGAGAGGGAGTTTATATATCTGAGAGCATAATTGGTAAGTTATGGGGTTACACTGGCTCTATAAAAGGGTTGTGCCCTCTGTGATGCCTTCCAATAGATCACAGCAGGTAAAAAATCTCACCTGGGCTCTGAGACAGGTAACTGTAGGACTGGTGCCTGAGAAACTCCTCTCCAGTAGCACAGGCTTGGGTGTGTGACCATAGCTGGTGCCCCATATCACCAGGTTTTTAGAGTGCAGCTAGCCTTTTGCATCTCTTTAGAGCTTTCAAAAGTTTTACTAGTGGAAGCATATGTGGTAGAGGAACGAACAGCACAAATGTCCCTGGGATAAATACTATGGGTTGTCACCCCAGCCATGCTGCTTTCCTGCTGCCTGCAGAGGCACAGCTGGCTCTGGGGCTTTTTTCCCCCCTCGGTTGCCCTTGTGAGGGTCCCTCTCATGGTACTTCTCTTCCGAGAGTAACAGGTTTAACTGAAAAAAATTAGTAGGAATAAGCAACACTTTTTAAGGACCAGTCTGTGTTGGGTATTTGCATTATTTTCATTAGGTTTGATTACGATTTGATTTGGCACAGATGCTTCTGCTGCCACGTACATATCTGCACTGGGCTGTTCTGCAGCTCCTGCCTTAACTCTTTCTTTCCACCCACCCACTCTCCTGCGCGGGGGGAGGCTGAGAAGCAGCTGCCTGCGTAGCTGTGAGTCAGGAGGATGCACACACCCTGCCCGGCAGCCAGACCCGCCACAGAGCAGCTGCCTTCCCCCCCAAACCGCCTGGTCCTTGGCCGTCCCGAGCTGAGTCGCAGCAGGGGTTGCAGGAGAGGGGGGCTTTGCTGCCAGCCTCTTGGGTACCACCGCATCCCCCTGCCCACCCGGCTTCCCAGGCACTGCAGGTGCAGGCAGAGCTTTGGCTTTTTTTTTTTTTTTTGGCTTTATTTGGAATAAATTCCTTTAGTTAACCACCAAGCTTCCCTAGCTCTGGTTCAAAACAAGAAGTTTGGGGGTAGGTCTTCATATTCGGAGAAATCCTTGGCCTCTCTGAGACCCCAGGATGCTAAGCAGTTGTATTTTGGTGCTTTTGTTGTGACAGGCAGCCTCAAACCTAGTTCATTTAATGGGTGGGAAGTGTGGGCTCCCAGCAGACCAGGGGAGCTGGGGTCCATGAGGACAGACAGGCTCCCCTTCGCTGGGGACAGGGGATATCTAACTCTGTTCCAGCGCTGAAAAGCGATTCCTGGTGGTTATGGTGAAAGCTCCCCTCAACGGGATCCTCGGCACGCATAAATCTGATGCAGGTACCACAAACTGGAAATGCAGGTTCCTGGTGCACCACCCCAGCACAGCAGCCTGCTCTGAATCAGCTGGAGGTTTGCTGGGCTGGTCCCACCCCTAGCAAACACAGCAGAGGGAAACAATCTTTCTAGTCATCTCTGGAGACTGGCAGTGTACTGGAGATGCTTTCCATTTTAGAGGCCAGCTCATGACGTGAGGATGGGTGGGTTTTGAGAGATGCTGAGCATTAGCAACTGCAAGAGAAATTTTTGGTGTGAAACAGGCTTGTCCAGTTTTTAGGACCTGTTGAAATGACATGTCCAAAATTACTACTTGTTTATGAAATGTGGACTGTTTCCTCCAGCTTTGCATAGATCTCTTCCGACTGTCATTCCCTTTCTACTCCTATCCAAACATGTGATGCATATGTTGCTCTTAATTCAGTGCTCAGACATCTTTGTTTCCCTGTAAATGAGCAGGTATCCTCAGTGTGCTCTGGAGACTGGCAGCAATGAATTTCCATAGCAAATGAGAGCTGCTGGGTTTTTTTTCTTTGTGGTTTTTGGTATCTCATTGCTCTGAACAGTTTCATTATTGGCTCTTGAAGTGCATCTGTTAGCCTTTGTCTTCCCTCTGGCTTTCAGCTGAAGTTAAGGATCTTTCCTCTGCCTTGTACTGTAACTTTGGGCCAGTAAAGAGGTCTTAGATGAGGCTATAAGGCTCACCTCTGATGTTTTGCCACTAACAGATCTGTCCTAATGCCTTAGCAGACTTCGGCTTCTCCATCAGCACAAAGTTGTCTGATCAGTTGTGCAATCCCAGGAATTTGAATTCCCACTCACTCTCTCCTGGCTCGCCAACAACTGGCTCATTCCCTTGTGGTTATAGAGGATCTTTGGTCATCTGCAGGGTGATGGACTTTGCAAGCAAAGCATGTGTATTTTCTTATTATTTTGTCAAAAGCTGGGGGATTCCAAGGCCCTTCTGAAGGAGCCCAGGCTGCTGCTGTTAATGTCAGCTCTGCTCCAGCAGCTCCTGTGTTCCTGAACCCCCTACACCCAGGGCAGCATGTGATGTTAATGTGCTGTCTGAGCCCTGGATGGGGCTCACTGTATAAAGACAGTTTCACCTTTGATCAAGGAGACTTTGGAATCCTATAGCAAACTCTTGTAAAAATAGTGATAATGCCAGTGAAAGGCAAAGGACACCGGCTCAATCATTATCTAGGCTTTTGTATGCAGAAAACCACTGCACTGAGCAGTGCAGGCTGATGGTAGGATAATGTTTCCTTTGCACAAGTGGCTGTTAACAACTAATGCAAACAGCTGCTTGGGGTGAGTAGGAGTGCAACAGGGTGGACCCCGCAGCCTGGGAACGGTGCGGTGTGTCCCTCACCACTGCCCGTGGGGGTCTGCGAGCGTCTGCTTGTGGACTGTTATTTCCTTGCTCCGGGTCTCTCCCAACGCTGGTATGTGAAAGTCCAGTCCACCGCCTCAGTCACTTACCTCTGTGCTGCCAGCCCAATTCAGCATCGGTTTGTGTTTCGGACGTGGGTGCGTTAGTGTACGCTTCACGAGCAGCTCCAATCCCTCTGCAGAGCAATATTAGCTGTGAGTCACTGGAGGAAAGGAGAGGCTTTCTGCTTCTGGCAGGTGTACGAGGCAGGAGCCCTGGTCAGCACTCTAGGTGAGTCAACATGCCATGAATATCTCATGGTGGGTGGCTGTAATTATCCAAAGTGCCCTAGCTGTAAGCATCCTCGCAAACGTGTAGGCTGCTAAATTGCATGGTCCTGTACCAGCTAAATGCACTGCTCAGTTTACTGCATGAATGTGAAGGGAATAGTTGAGAGTGAAACAAACCACACAAGTAGCAGTTTTCCCCAGAGCGTTCAGATATGCTGGTGCCAGTTTCCCAAAAAGCTGGAAGTCTGTCTGTGACTTCAGTGCGGTGTGTGCGTGACTGCAGCATGAGCTGGCAGTGCTAGCTGGAGAGCAATACCCACAAAACCTGTGGGAGCTATTAAATTTGCTTGGTATGTGAATGGTGAGAAACTAATGCTGCTGATTGCGGGCTGGGGAGCCCTAAGCTTGGATGTGAGATAGCCGTGCTCTTGTCCAGCCCCTCTGCACCTGACTAGCACAGGGGAATTGTGTCCATGGCTTGTGCAACCTTGATCACTTCATTCATCCCCTTAAAGCCTGTCAACAGCAGCTACCGCAGGGACCTCCATGTGTTGGAAATGGCCCTGGATCCCATCAGGCTCCTGTTCGTGTAGACAAATTACCAGCTATACAGGCTAGGGCCTGCTTGTCAGTGCTTTGCTCTGATGCCCTGGGTGTAAAATTAACAGCTCCGTTTTCTCAACTATTGCAGAATGCCCAAGAATCCCATGGGGTGGCTGTGCCAACGCCGTCGGTGCCAGAAAACTTTGAGGAAAAAGCAGCTCTTGGTAAGGGATCTTCTCTGCTGAGTCCTGGACAGACGGTGCTAAGTGCTCAGCAGTACTGTGCCCTCGGGGAAGGAAGTGTGTGTGTACGGAGCTCTGGAGCAGACAGTCTGATCATGAGATTTTCATGCTAAAATACAGTCTACTATGAATTATTTTTTGAAGTCATTGAAAATGAATTCATTTCTAAGGGGTGAGGCATAGTGGCTGTTACAGTTCAGCAAGTTTTAGACAGCTGCTGAGCAAAATAAACTGGCTTCCTAGGAGAATAGCTGGCCAGAGGGGATGCCGGCCGTCACAGCGCTGACGGAGAAGGTGCTCACACCACCATGCTCTCGCTCTTCCTTGCAGGGTCTGGCTCCCAGATCAATGGGAACTACCGAATGTACAGCTCAGTGGGGGACCTGCGCCCACAGGCTCTCGAGGGGGATGACCTGGACGAAGACATCCCGCCGCCACCGTCGGTACCCCCACCGCCCCCTCCAATAGCACCAGCGCCTGCGCCACCACCTCCAGCCTCGCCGGCCCCTCCACCGCCCGAAACGCTGCCTCCGCCACCGCCCCCACCTGAGACGGTGCCGCCGCCTCCTGCCATGGCACCTCCGCCACCTCCAGCCTCTGCCCTGTCCTCCCCCAGCACGCCGGCTCCTCCAGACTTCATCCCGCCAGCCCCACCGGGCGCCCCGCCGCTCAGCCAGGCCCTGGCACCCTTCGCCACCGGCATGTCCAAGTGGAAGTCCGAGACGGTGCTGAACACCAGGCAGGTGGATGCTGAGGGGCCGCTCTGCCCTGCTGAGGCTGGGGTGCCCACTGCCCCCAGCCCAAAGGAGAGCCTGCAGCCCAAGCACTGTCCCGAGCCCCACCTCACCTTCCCCAGGTCCTTCAAGGTGCCCCCCCCGGCCCCAGCCCGGTCCTCCTCCATCCCTGTGCAGGAGAGCCAGCCCATCCAGCGGGAGCCCTTCCCCAGGCAGCCTCATTCCCGGCCTCCCCTCCCGCCTTGCTTCACCATAAGACCCGCAGCCAAGGCTCACGCAGGAGGAGAAGCTGACCAAAGAAATTCCCCGCTGAGACAGGGCGTCGCGAAACCGGCTGTGCCGACACCCCCGCCGCTGAGCCCCAAGCCGGGTCTAGGGCTCAGCCAAGGGATGAATCCTGCCGGCTGCCGGTCCCCGCTGCCAAGCTCCGAGATGGAGAAGGTTCCCCAGCTGAAAACGGGCGAGAGAGACTCTCCTCCAAGATCCGAATCTCTCTCTGCGAACGACCTGGACCTCCCGCCTCCGGACTACCCGACCTGTGAGGACGACTGGAGGGACGCCGGCAACCTGAGCAGGCTGCGGCATGAGCTCTCGGCCCTCCTGCGCTCCCCGCGGAGGGAGGAACGGCCATCGGAGAAGCCTTCTGGTCCCCGGCCAGTGGACGGCAGTACTGACCGCACCGGCAGCTGTGAGCCCAGCCTCGGCGGGCCCCAACCTGCCGGACCTGCTGGGAAGGACGTGCGGTTACCCGCGGGAGGGGAGAATGAGAAGAAAGAGGTGCCCAGCAGCCCCCCCAGTGCCAAGGGGGGCTCTCCCAGCACGGTGCTCCCTGCTCCGGAGAGCAACCCCACCGCGCGGACCTGCAGCGTGATGAAAATCAGGAACGAGCTGGAGGCTGTGCTGTCCCTGAAGAAAGAAGGGAAGCCTGCCCTGGGGCTCAGCAGCCAGAAGCAGGGCACCGAGGATGGCAGCAGCACCCCGCGTCTGAGGAAGAGCCCCCCTGACCCGAGGAAAAGCCCCCCTGACCCAGCTGACTCGGTGTTGCCGAAACCGGCCCCAAGCCCGGTCCTAGCACCAGCGGCTGCAGTGGAGAAGGATGAGATGGGGCACGAGGACCATCCCACTCCGGCCACGAGCAAGGCCGCAGAGAACTTGTCCCCTGCTCCCAGGTCTCTCAACAGCAGCGCGAGCCCCCCAGACCCACCTCGGGGACCAGCGGAGGAGCCCCCTGCTCCCGCCTCTCCCTCGCCCCCCGTTTCTCCCGCACAGAGCCCAGCGCCGCAGCCCGGCGCGGCCATCTTCCAGTACAAAGTGCACCGGGCTGGGGCCGGCCCAAGCTCGGCCGACCCACCCTGCCCCACGAGCTCGGCCAGCGGCCCGCCGGGCGCCTCGGGAGCGGGACGAGAGGAGGTGCTGATCCACCCTGTGACGGGCGAGCGGGTGGAGCGGGGCTCCCCCATGGCGCTGCTCCTGGCAGCCCGGCAGCGTGCCCAGCGGGGCCGGCAGGCTGGTGAGGCGGGAGCCACGCCGCGGGCCAAGCCGGCCCTGAAACTCGGCAGCGCCTCGTCGGACACCGCCTCCGCCGGCTTCTACCGCCACGAGTCCAAGCCCTACTCCTTCACCGTGGTGCCCCGGCCACCCGTGGCCGGTGCAGCGGGGTCGGGACGGAGCAAACCTCCGTCCTTCTCCAGCTCCTCGGAGCAGGGCCGGGACGCGCGGGCGGCGGGCGAGGCGCAGCCCTCGAGCCCCCTCCCCGGGCACCGGCGGGCTGCTGCCTCCAGCCTGCTGCGGGGCCTCCTCGAGGCCGGGCAGCCGAACCAGGCCGGCGTGCCCAGGGAGGAGGAGAACGGGGAGACGGCGCTGGACTACGGGATTATCCCCCCGCCCCCTGAATTCAGCAACGAGGTGGACGAGACCGAGGGGTCCCTCCCGAGTCGGGAGGAGAACCGCAAGTGCCCCAGCTTCCCCGACTGCAGCCGGGGCTCGGATGCACCGCGGTATTTCAGGTGGCCCGGCTACGGCCGCGGCTACGGGGGCAGCCGTGAGCCGCCAGCCCCGCTGCCCTCGGAGAAGAGCAGGAGGAGCGTCGACTTCACGCCCCAGTACCCAGATTTTGGCGGCTCTGCCGGTTACTTCAGCCACTGCCCGAACCCCCGCCCGCTGATCAAGAAGCGCCTGTACGTCTCTGAGCCCGACAGCTCCTACCCCCGGGCGGCTGCAGCCCCCCGGGGCACGGGTGCCCTCTCCTCCTACGGCCCCGGGGGATACAGCTCCCCGGCTGGGGAGGGGGTCCGCCGCCTCAGCTCTGCCCACAGGAACGGCCCCGCGAGCGCGCAGGGCAGGCGGACCTCCATTGATGCTGCCGGGAAAGCCGCGCCGTACGGCAACGCCGGGGCCGATGCCAAGTACAAGGGGCAGAACGGGGATTTCTCGCCCGCTGGTGCGGTGGCAGCCGGCAGGTATGTTCCCCCCCACCCCCGCCTTAGCTGACCCCTTCCCTGCCCTCTGTGTCCCTCTGATTTGAAGAAGAGGAGGGCTGAGCCCTGGGCTGGCCCCAGAGCAGCACCGAGGCCCAAGAGACATCGATGCCGCTGGCTGAGCTCGCTCCCGGCCGGGGTCTCTCCCCGCCGCCTCGGTCCGTGGCTGCGGCATGGCTGCTGCCTGCTCCCAGCCGTAACCCTGGTGCCCGTCGCCCTGTCGTCCCCGCGTCGCTGAATGGAGACATGAGGCGACAAAAGTCACCCTGCTGCCACTAGAAAAAAAACCAAACCCAAACAAACCATAATTGCAATATCGAATAAACCCAAAGGGTTTCCTTGGCTTTCAGTGACTTTCCCTCTGTTTTCCCTCCAGACCTGCCCACGGCAGCTCGCAGTACAGCGGACATACCAACACCTTCACGGTCAGGCCCGGCGCGCGGCAGCCCATCTCCTACACCTACCAGAGCGGCCACCGATAGGTTTGTCCGCAGGGCTGCTCCGCCGCCTTCGTCTGGCTGGGAAGGGGTGAGAAGGCGCCTGGGTTGGTTGTCTCCTTCTCTGCGGGCACCAGGGACGGTCCCAACCCAGGCAGCAAACACACTGCTTGAAACCACTGACGGAGAAGGCGAGGAGTGAACCTGGGACTCGGACTCTTCTCAAAAAGACTGTCACGGAGCGCGGTTACTACAGAGGACAGGCTGCTGTCTTGTTACGTGAGCAAACACAGTTTTCCTTCTCCTATTTCCCCCCACCCCACCCTGTATTATTTTCAAAATTGCAGCCTGGTAGGTCTTCTAAGAAAGCCAAAAAGCATCCTTAGTTCTCTTTAAAGAGCATTGCCACTGGAGAGATTGTTTTCAATTTGTTATTTTTAGTTGGTTTAAATCCAACATGCTTGGGAGTCGGGAGAAACCAACTGCGAGATGTGCATAATGGAAGCAAGCCAGTGTATAGCTACACGCAGGGGAATTAAAAGAAGAATGTGAGGCCAGTGGGACAGAAACAGAGTTTAGGATGTCTAGATCCTAACCTCTTCTGTCCCCACCTCCTCCAACAGCCTTGAGCAAATCAATTATGCCGATGCCTTAAAAACAGCTCCTGCCTTTCAGTGCCTGTCCTGCTGAGCCGGGGGCAGCTCTGCCGCGAGGGTCTGAGCCCCCTTCTCCGGGGATCAACTGCGGGGGGGCAGCAGCTTTGTGAGCACCAGCCCTTGCTTTCCTGTGCCTTTTGGTCACTGTAAATGTTTCTGTTGGTAATTGTGCCTCATGGAAGAAGGCTGCGAGGCCTGGATGGATGGCTGTAAAGCACTTTGGAGACTTAAGACATTGAGCAGTTCCTTTCCTTTATCAGCTGGTGGGTGTCAGCAGCTCACCGAGGTGCTGTGCTGGTGGTGCTTTCCTCGAGGGGCCTCTCGCCACTTCATACCCACATAAACCCCACCTCTAAAAGCTAAGCCCCAGGGTCCTTATAAGTTGTTATACTGAGACTTGGCTTTAGTTTGCCTGGTTTGGGGTACTAAGCAGCTAAATTCTGGTGTGGTTGTGGAGTATTCGATGCTCCTGGTGTGTGGAAGGTCTGTGGTGACGTACCGGAGGGAGCTGGCTCCCGCTGGTTCCGTAAGCGCTTGCCTGGGTGCTGGGCGTGCGTGCGAGCCTGTCCCTGCTTCTTGCCAGTGCCTCTCTGAAGGATCTGGTGATGGCTATGCGGTGAGGTGGGGGACAAGAGTAGCCTTAAAGTGGGTATTCTATACTACAGAGCAAGCAATACAGTCTCACGATAGCTGACCAAAGTTTTGAATAGCCAAATTCCTGAAATTAGAAATATAAAATCTTCCTCATAGGTAAAATTGCTGAAAATCACTGTAAGATAAGTGTAAAAACTTGTAGAGAATGTTTTCTAATCACTGACAAACTAAAAGCACTTTGAGACATGAGTCTACTTTTATGGAAAGCACTTTCTATTTTCAGTACTATACAATATCATTAGTTCCACTCCAGCTTATCCTGTGTTGCATGCACGTGCGTATGTGTGCATGTAAGCAGATTTTGCTCTACAATTCAACTCAAAATTCAGTGATAAATTTTCCTTCATGGTGGAATTTTCAAGAGAGTTATATTGTTATTAATGTCATGTTGTTGACGTTCTACGTTTTATTTTATTTCCAACTTTACCTAATAATTTAACAGCTGTTTCAAATATTGCAGCAGCTTCAAAGTATTCTGAACTTTACTTTGCTGTGAATAAAATGAAAACGCAAATACAGTAATTGGTCTAACAGCTAATTCAAATGGCATTTTTATGCCAGTAAGTCACAGTGACTTGGAAGATTTCCAGACATGCTCACCCCAGCCAGTATTGAAATAACATGTTTTAAATATCTGGGTGTTGGTTTTTAAAAACTGCTTATGGAGAAAAGTGACTATGGAGTAACTATCTGGGTACTTAAGTGTGCCAGTGTAATGCAGAATAGCCCCCACCTTAAAAGATGGAAGTTCCTCCATGCAAGGAGCATGCTGAGGATTCCTTATCTATGGAAGTAAAGCCATGATCCTGTTTGAGTGGCTCCAGGGTCATGTTTTAGTATTGGATGAAGTTTCATCAGTTTAACTTGAAACAAAACGAAGAAGCCTTTCTGATAAGATTGCAACCTAACTGTTTTTTTTTCCCCTGATACTTGTTTTTTCAAAATAAGTTATAACCACAAATTAATTGTCAAAAGCAGTTTTAAATTTAAAGGCTTGTTGGGAGACTTCAGCTTTCAAGATTGACTTTTCCCAGAAAGAGGAGGGGGTGTGTGCAATTTTCCCCCTCAAGAACTCTCCTAAATTTGAGCATATCCCCAACATAAGTTGTTTTTTTTTTGTTTGGGTTTTGTTCTTTTTTTTTTTTTTTTTTTTTTAAGAGCAAAATGTGAAACTCCAATGGTGGCACTTGCTTTGAATTTCACATACACTATTTCACCCAGACATGCAATTCATATGTAGTTGTAATATGGTGTTCTATAGTGTGGAGTGTCTTGTTTCTAGCAGACGTGTATTTGTTTATATTAAATATTAGAAGCATGATAATATAAGTAAGTTTTATGAAATAGCCATTATTCATCCAAAGAACACCCATTCTGGGAATGCTCAGTGGACTAAGCTGTAACTAAATCAGGTAGGACTCCGTTCACAGTTGTAAAACTGGTTAGCATGAATGTTTTAAGCAGTGGAACTATTCTATTCTTTAAACACTTTGGGCTATCCCTACTTCTTTTGAATGCATTAAGCAAAATTCTAGTATTTCAGTAACAACTAGACATTTATGCTGGGGCCCCTGTTTGCGTTACAAAGAAACCACTGTCAGAGCTGTTGGCAGCTAAAGCACTTGAGGAGAAAGTTAATCCATAATGAAGAGCAAGGACTTCTTGGCTGGAGGGATAGGGAAGAGCTCCCTCTTCCTCGGTCAGGTAACTTTGTCAGGACAACACCTAGGTATACTGTACTCCGATTCCTGTTTCTGCTCCTCCCCAGCTCTGTTTCACTATATAAATTTAGCAACAGAAGAGGAAGAAACTAAGGGGTAGTAATGGAGCAAAGCAACCTACCGTACAGCCCAGTCTTAGCACTGAAAGCAATCTTGAAGCCTGACAATGGAATTATTCTCACTTCAACCCTCTGATGCAGTTCCGTCATTCAAGTCTTGATACAACTTAAAATATCCCCTGCAGCTGCCTCTTCCTCAAAAGTACCTGCTAATGTAGTATAACTGAGAGCTTTACTTGTAAAGTGTTGAACAAAGTCTCTTATTTATGAGTGCCATTGAACACCAACCTTCTTCCATTAAATATGTCTGGATGTATTGTTTTATTACACGTGTGGTCTGACTTTTTTTAGTATTGCTCAAGTGGTTCGTCTGCTGTAAAATTGAGATCTTTGCATTTAAGATTAAAAGGACAGGAAAATGTAGTTCAAACTGGCCTTAGCAACAGTCTGAATTTCAGCTTACCTAGGGCTTGGTCCAGTTTCTACCTACCAGTTGTTGATATAAACCCTGTGGCAATTTAAGTGTTTTTAGAAGCCTGATGAAGAAATGAATGGGCAGCTAGCCTTAACTGCCCTGTTGCTCTAGAAACACCCCTCGCATCCAGCTGGTTAGGCAGGCTGGCAAAGGAGCTTGTGCAGTTCAGCCTGTGCTGCTTCTATAAATAGCTCTTGGTTTTGAGCTTTTCATTAGTAATGAAACTTGCATACTTATTTGCAAGTCCTAACTAGAGTGATGTACTTAAAATTGAAAATGCAGCGTGAGCAATGCAAGCAGCAACATAAAAGGCAGGCTTGTCTTCATAGTGGCTTATTCTCTCCACTCCTCAAAATTATACTTCTTTGCATTCTCATCTCTTTAATCCAGCTCTGGCTACAGAACCAGGTTCTTCGTGAGGGAAGTGTGCAATGTGTATCTTGAAGCTTTTACTCTAGCCACAATGTATTTATAGAAGTATCCTCAAACCCGAACAGCATGTAGTCCACAGAGAGTGTGAGCATACCACAAAACCCAGGGAATTCGCTCCAATTCCTTTGCAGATAGTTACAAAGTCAACAAGCATTGATGTGGTATTGCCAGTGTTTCTGCTGCTGCTGCCTGCATGTTGGTACAGCTATTTAATGTAGTCTTTCTAGCAATGGTGCAATCCACCAGGAGCCACGCTAACACAAGTGACTGCTAGATAAACTGTCGCTCTTCTGTGCTTCTCTTAGGATGGGGAAAAAAAACCAAGCATAAGTGGTAAAAACAACAAAGGTAGATACTCTTTAAAGACATGTGCAGACGGTTGGGGCCGGTATGCTGCTTTGCCACTTGTCAAGCTGGCAGCTGCTGCCCTCCTGTGGCAGAACGTTAAAGCTTCACCCAAAGATTTGCCAGATGATGAAGCCTTTGCATTTTTTTTTTGCGCTGCCACACTAAGTCTTTAAGCAATTGTAAAAACAGGATTAATACATCAATAATGACCTGTTATTCATATAGACTTCACCTTCCACTGTTGTTTCGCTCACAGTGTGGCAATGTGAGGAACTTAATGTTGTTTAATACCTGATGTGCTTGTTTCAGCTGGGATAGTTAATTGTCTTCCTAGTAGCTGGTATAGTGCTTCCCTTTTTACCTATGAACAATGGAAACCCTACTTCCAAGTTTTGGGAAGAAAAGCTTCCTGAAAACAAGCAGGACTTACAGCCTGCCTTGCACTAGTGCTGAAGAATCATAGTACCCTAGCATTAATAATACAGTGCACATTTATTTAAAAACGGTTTTAATTTCAGGGACTGAAATCACAACTTCACTTTAACTGTGTGAATTATCTCAGCTGGCTCTTCAATACTACAGAAGTGGCCTGGTGAAACTTACACCCAGTTACAAATGAAAACTATGATTTATTTAAAAACCGTCTTCTACTCTTCCAAGACAACTTTTTCACAAACAGCACAAGACCTGTTCCAGTTTTCAGAACACCATCAGAGGTCTGTAACAGGTAACTTTTTGTGGTTGTTCGAGGGGTACTTGAGTAAACTTGTCAGTTTTTATAATCATTTACCTTCTCCTTGTCATATGCTGCTCTAGATCGGCAAGTTTGCTCTGTAAACACCTGTATCACACAGGAATTAAAAAAACAGCAAATGAAGTTTTAAGAAGAGTATGAGAAAAGTACAGAGCCTGGGAAAGCTTAGTCTGCCTAAAAATTAATTGCACAATTTGGATCAACTAAAACCTATGTTTATGCAGGGATAAGCCCACTGGAAGTGGTATACATTTTAGTGTTGCTATTGTGCTAAAGAAACAGGAGTAGCATTCATTTCAATAGTATTTTTTGTTTCATTAGGCAGGACCTGCTTTATTCCGTCTAGGAAATATTAGGCCATACCAAGCCATACCTAGAGCAGCGGCAATGCATGCAGAGCAATGACTTTTTTCAGTTAAATATGTTCCAGGGAAACAGTTTAATTTTAGAAGTATGTGGTACACTACAAAAAAAACACTTCTAAGGAGTCTGTTTTGGGGATTATGGGAATGCTTGGTCCCCTCAGTTGCCGGCACAAAGTCACTCATCACAAGCATGTAAGGAATCTCATTTATCACTAAGCAGAGTCTGTTTATAGGAGCAAGCAAATGAAAACTGAAGTCCTTAGTCCAGTTTTTCCCTTACATAAGCTTTTGTTCACAGATCTTTGAGTAAGTTGTCTTCAGCACAGAGGAGATGAAACATGGTGTTCGTAGCAACTGCTAACTTCTCTTGGTTTTCAGCATGCTACAGTAACAGCCTCTTTGAGCTGGCCTCAGCTGCTAAGCCAATGTTGAGCATCACAGGTCTCAGTATGTCAGCATGTCACACACCATCACGAAGCTGTTTAATTACAGGGGTGCAGCTGGCATCCTTATCATACAACATACAAGACTCTTCACACCAAGAACTGGTATTCCAATACCAGTGCATAAACAGTGCTCACCATAGGATCCACACCAGTAGATATTGAAGACCAACCCTCTATACCACATACTGCATTAAGGACAACAGTGGAACCCTTCTAGTCTTTAGATGCTAACATGTCTTCCCACTCGGTTGGAAGAACTGATTTACATAGCAAAGATCTTTGCTCGAGGGTGAGGCTCTTGCATCCAACTAACAAGAGGTGTTGTTTTTAACCTCCCCCAGAAAATGTTTCTGTTAATTCCATGGATGGTTTGGAGAACTGAGGGAGGAATCAAGTTTGTCTTTTTTTTTTAAATTATACCTAATGCCCCATCTCTCCAAGTCTCCTCTGTGCCTGAAGTCAATTTTTTTCTGGGTAAAATACTGAAGTCTTATCACAGGTGAAGCCAGCTCCTGAGGAGAGGGTAAAGCTTGGTTTGTAACTAACTTATGTCTAATTCAAAACTACTACAGGAACCTTCTTAGTCACAAGCTTCAAGGCAGATAACAGACCACACCCGCTCCAGTTCACACACTCCTTTGACTTCAGCAGAATCAAAGTAATGCCAGGAAGGAATTTGGACCGTGAGTTTAGAAAACTATTCTTTTACACAGTTGACTCCAGAACCTTCACCAGTTGGTATGGGGACAGTGTGATGTAAAACCTGATGATCCCATCCAACCGTAGTGAGCAAGGCATTGTCTGAAGGAGACCACGATAAGCCTTTTACAAAGTCTCGATGAGAACGGTTTCTGAACCTGGAAAACATGAACATTCATTTATTTATTAGCCATAAAGCACTGTCACTAAAGTTTATGGGCTTGTGCAATTCCTAACTGCTAGTTTGTTAGAACGATGCTCCCCTATTTAAAAAGTACTTTCATATTCCACTTAGCATACGGATAAATAATTAACTTAATGAGAAGTCAACAAGACAAATAGCCACATTCTGTCTAGTACTTACACCTCTGAGAGGTCTGAGTCAAGAACAGCTACTGAACAGTCTTCACTGATTGAAGCCAGTAAGGGTGAACTAGAGGACAGAGATGAGACCATGGTTAGAACAAATACAAGAAAGCTTCTTAGGGACAAACTTATGAAAAGCACACATCTTAGTGAGCCTGACCCAGGTACAGTGAATTAACAGACACCAAATCTTACAAAAATGTTTTCATCATCATTTGGCAGGTTGCCAGCACACTAAACAAGAATATTCTATTTGTGTTGGAAAGTAAGTAATCCTTCTTCAAGCAGAGGTGACTGTAACTAGAAAAATCCCCACAGTGAGTGGGTCAATAATTCTGAATACTGCAAAAGTGTTCTCATGTACATTCACACACATCTTGTCAGAAGTGAGACGTTGTTAGGTTTATTCTTCACTATCGATCTTGATGAAAAAGACCAAAACTAGTAGTTTCATAAGTGTTACTCCAAAAACAAATAAGGCTTTCAAGTATATGCAGTCACGCATTCTACGCCAGCATATCAGACTGTACCTATGTGTAGAAAATGCAAACCCCGTGATACTTCGGGCATGCACAGTGGAGCTGAGGGCGGAATCAGGATTCTTTGTGTCTACTAGTGCAACTGTTCCATTTTCATCACCTTTAAGAGAGGAAGGGAGAATGAAGTTATTAGCAAAATTGACATGTGAAAAGAAAGACCTTGATTTGCCTGCTGAAAGTCAAATAATAAGATCACTTCTTACCCAAAGCAAAGATGTCACTTTTCTGTGGATGCCACATGACTGAGGTAGGGAGGTGATTACAGGCACTGCAAACTACAAGTAAATAAATTGGGATGACTGTGAAAAGAGTCAGTACAAAGATATTCCTGCACTATCTCATTTAGCACTGCTACTGCACTAAGACAAATATTTAAAAGCTTATCGTACTTCTGGGATAGTGTTAGACTTCCTTAGGTTTTAATAGGCTTTTCTGCCCAAATGGTCACATTGCTAGATTTGAAGTTAGTCATAGTGAAGTCAGGCATAAAATAATTTAATTCTTCCAACAAAAACTCATACACAAGCAGTAACTGCATACAGAAACATACCAATTCGAGTAGCTGGTTTGGGGCATCTGGTGTCCCAGAGTAGAGTTCTGCTGTCCTATAAATCCAGAATGAACAAGAAGGTGTTTATAACTTCTTTGTGGCAGGGAGTAGGCATAAACTCAGATTCACTGCAGAACTGCTACTGACCCACATTCAAACCCACACCACCTCTTCGTTTGTGTTAAAACGATGCTGCCGTTAACTGCAAGTTAGTTTCTTCAGTCATCCCTAGCACAGGCCTAGGAGCTCTCGCATTTTAATACAAACCTGTAAAAATCAGCTTGGTAAGCTGACTGTCAATTTATCAGACTGGAACATTGAAATAACACAAGTATGCAGCTTGTAACACAATAGGTGGTTTCCCAGTAAGTGCGTTTAACTGTAAATAACTAAAATTATATCTCGTTTTTATCCGGTAGATTTAGACAGAGAGCAAACTTTACCTCAGCACAGGACAGGAACACAGTGTCCTTACCAGGACAGGAAGCCACACATGTCACTGAACCGGAGTGAGCTACCAAAAGCACAAAAGGATAAAGAGCCTCAAAGATCGTATCCAACTTTCCCACACATTCCCAGGGACCTCTGAAGGCACACCAATATAATGAAGAATAGTTTATGCCCAGATATAGGCTAACTTCTGCTTGGCAATAGCCAACGGCTTCCTACCAAATCCTGCCAGATCCAACCAGAGCCACTGCAGTCAAGTCCCTGTGACACACATAAGCTTGAGGAAGCCTCTCCAGACAAGAGGCCAGTCACAAAGGGGCTGGCGGGGGGAGAGGATCAAACACAGCACAGCCTCTGCCGTGGCTAGAGATCACAACACCGCATCTCCAGAGATCGGCCTCTCAAATGAGCTGTTGTTCAAAACAAATATGGATTAGGAGATCACACAATCATATGCAGGTGGAAGATTTCAGTACAGAGGAAAAACTCTAAAATACACTTAGAGATGCAAGGCAAACTAAACCTTATAGCATTCATGTTGTGGGGAGAAATGAACAACAGACAAAGAAACAAAGCTGTGCCAGAAACTTCACAGACTAGCAAACGTTAGATCGCGGCCCCAAGCGTGGTTTGGCAGGCGGGATGCTGCAGGAGTAAGCTCAGCCTGCAGCAACCGGCGAGCGGCCAGCAGGAGCCGGGCGATGGGGCCGGCGTGGCACTCACCTCTGTAGGAGTGCAGCACCGTTTGCTGTGGGAGGTCCCAGACCTTCACGCTGCGGACAAGAGCGAGCAGTCAGCACCCGGCACCAGCCCTGGCACATGGCAGCCGGGCTGGGGACACTCACCAGAAGTCCCTGCCGCCGCTGACGGCCTGGGTGCTGCCGGCCAGGACGGCCACCGTCATCACGATGTCGTCATGCTCGTATTTACAGAACTTGTTGACGATGAGTGTTTCGTTTTCGTCCAGCTCCCATAGCTCCACAGCGCCTGGGGGGGCCCCCACCTCAGCTTAAGGGGGAAGGGGGGGGGGGCGCCCACCTCAGCTTAGGGGGACGACGACCCCCGGGGATCGCCGGTGCTTACCGGAGTCGGAGGCCACCAGGATGCCCCTGTCAGCCACCCAGCACAAGTCGGCGACGCCCGCCTCGGTCTGGACGCCGGCGGTGCAGAACCCCCCGCTGGGGG